TCACTTTGTTTATAACCTACACATTCCATGTACTCAACAGCTACATTAAATCACATTTGTTTATAAGTGTAGTAATGTTTAAGGAAGTATTTTTTTCTATTTCCAGAGTTTCACGTGTAATAATATTTAAGGAAGTACTTTAAGGAATATAAACAAGCTTCAATGGAATGGAAGCCGAGTTCAATAACTTCAAACAAAATAAACAGTTCGTAACACAAGAACAAGAAACTGTTCAGTAGTTTTGGTTTTTTCCTGATATCTATTTTTATATTCAATACTTTAAACTTGTTTAAAATATAAAAACAATATATTTGTCAGAAATATAAAAATATATAGTAGCATTATACATTATCTTTAATATATAAAAATAAAAATATTCGGCATGATGAACATTTATTTTTGTCTCTTTCAGCCAATGCCATCACAAACTGCAAATTATTTGAAAATTGTAAAGATTAAAGGTGTTAAAAATCCACCTAATCAATATACCAAGGAAGGTTCTGATCTATGTTCCTCATTCTTGTGATGTGTTCCACTTTTCACATGTTCCTCCTCTTTGTCTTTCTCTCCTCTTAATCTGTGCACTACCGAGTCAGATATCTGTGAAAGTAATCATATTGAGAAGCTTAATATATCAGATTACTATGAAATATCAACAAAATATGATGGTAAAACATCCCAAACATAACGATATGAAAACCACAAGTTTCACCTTTCAAGAACATGAAATGTGTAGGCGTGTAGTAATATTTAAGGAAGTATTTTTTCTATTTCCAGAGTTTCAAATAATATTTAAGGAAGTACTTTTTCTATTTCCAGAGTTTCATTTTTTCTATTTCCAGAGTTTCACGTGTTTATAATTTTCCTTTAACAACTTTTTTTTAAAATAAGGTTTTGTTTTCTACAGGTGTGTCACATTTTTTTAAGAGTACCAAGTCTATGGTAAATGACTCGTTTCTTCAGGATTTTAAATATGTAGCAAAGTTTACTACAAATTCCTGATTCATATAAGGAGTTCAAAATTACATGTTCGTAGATTTGTATGTTTTCATCAAATTGTTGAATTGTTCCTTTTAATCAACTGTGATTTAAAAAAATCTAATTAAACAAGCAAAATAATTAGGATATAATAACGTGTGTGATCCAATACAGAGTTAACACACTAAACAGTTAAGATATAATAACATGTGTGATCCAATACAGAGTTAACACACTAAACAGTTAAGATATAATAACGTGTGATCTAATACAGAGTTAACACACTAAACAGTTAAGATATAATAATGTGTGTGATCCAATACAGAGTTAACACACTAAACAGTTAAGATATAATAACGTGTGTGATCCAATACAGGGTTAACACACTAAACAGTTGTTATTATATCCTAACCGTTTAGTGTGTTAACTCTGGATCACACACGTTATTATATCCTAACCATTGAGTGTATTAACTCTGTATTGGATCACACACGTTATTATATCTTAACTGTTTAGTGTGTTAACTCTGTATTGGATCACAAATGTTATTATATCCTAACTGTTTAGTGTGTTAACTCTGTATTGGATCACACTTGTTATTATATCTTAACTGTTTAGTGTGTTAACTCTGTATTGGATCACAAATGTTATTATATCTTAACTGTTTAGTGTGTTAACTCTGTATTGGATCACACATGTTATTATATCTTAACTGTTTAGTGTGTTAACTCTGTATTGGATCACACATGTTATTATATCCTGTGTGTGATCCAGAGTTAACACACTAAACGGTTAGGATATAATAACGTGTGTGATCCAGAGTTAACACACTCAACGGTTAGGATATAATAACGTGTGTGATCCAGAGTTAACACACTGAACGGTTAGGATATAATAACGTGTGTGATCCAGAGTTAACACACTCAACGGTTAGGATATAATAACATGTGTGATCCAGAGTTAACACACTAAACAGTTAGGATATAATAACATGTGTGATCCAGAGTTAACACACTAAACGGTAAATAAATCTGTTTTTCACTTATCATGCCAGAAACACATTAACTTAAGTGATTAAACAAAGGTTTTATTTTCTGTGTTTGTAGGCACCATTTTTTGATAACCTTCAGTGGAGACAACAGCGAGAGAAAGAACTTCAACAAACTGAAGCTTCTTGGAAACTACAAGTGGAAGAACTTGAAAAACATGTAGGCTCATCACCAATAACTAATAACTGTAATTTTATATAACATGCCTCAGTTCTAACCACAATGTGATAACTAACTTTATATCACCTGATTCATTGTGATAACTGTACTTTTATATTACATGCTTGAGTGTTAACCACCAACACGTGATAACTGTAATTTTATATAACATACTACAGTGTTAGCCATGAACACCTGAATGAATTAGCTTCAAGATGTTTGAATTTTTTTTACTTTCTTTGAATTACCTTTTTTCACTGCCATGTTTATAGCTAATCTACTCTTATATAGTTGGGTTTATTGTTGTTGTTTCAAAACCTTAATCATCAGATAATAACTAAAAAGTTGTGGTTTAATTTTTCTAATTTACTCTTCTAGATGGTTCCAAAAATGTCCTATAGGGTAACACATGGGTGTGACATTCCAAGATAATAACTAAAAAGTTGTGGTTTAATTTTTCTAATTAACTCTTCTAGATGGTTCCAAAAATGTCCTATAGGGTAACACATGGGTGTGACATTCCAAGATAACTACATTACTTTGAAACAATGTTCATACATAATATTTAGCAGGAAGTATCATCCTGATCAAACAACACTTCGAACAATAATTCTTGAAAGAGCCTAATTACATTATAAACAGTTATTACTGCCTGAAATGTCACAAAATAAACTAAAACACGTCAATTTATTCTGTATTTTATTGAAATGTGACATTGAACAGTAATATTATTTCTGTTATTGTGTTCAGTATTGTGATTTTTTTTAATGTCAAGTTTCCAATTGTTTGTTGTATATATTTCATTATGTTTAACCAAGTATTGTTTTCACAAATCCAACAGCCTTCTGTGTCTCTGATTTTCATAATTCAAGACATTTCAGTATCTTGCACATGAGAGACGCCTGTACTTCATGTGTCTCTGATTTTCATAATTCAAGATATTTCAGTACCTTGCACACGAGAGACGCCTGTACTTCATGTGTTACTGATTTTCATAATTCAAGATATTTCAGTATCTTGCACACGAGAGACGCCTGTACTTCATGTGTCTCTGATTTTCATAATTCAAGATATTTCAGTATCTTGCACACGAGAGACGCCTGTACTTCATGTGTTACTGATTTTCATAATTCAAGACATTTCAGTATCTTGCACACGAGAGACGCCTGTACTTCATGTGTTACTGATTTTCATAATTCAAGACATTTCAGTATCTTGCACACGAGAGACGCCTGTACTTCATGTGTTACTGATTTTCATAATTCAAGATATTTCAGTATCTTGCACACGAGAGACGCCTGTACTTCATGTGTCTCTGATGCAGTTTAATTAATTAAGCAACAAACATGGGGAATTAGATTTTATAATGTTTCATCTTCTGTTAGTACGACAAATACTAAAATGAATGATAATTTAGAATTTGATAAGTTAATTTTTATTGGTTGGTTTATAGTTAAGATTGTTTTTTAGGGTATAGACCAACATTGTTTAAATTAACTAACATTTTTCTCTATCCTCTATCTTGATCCTTTTCAAAAAATTTCCTTTGGACGTTTTTTTTTTTTCACCTCAGTAAAGGAGAGAATAGACCACTTTTGTAATATTTCTTGTTTTATCAACAGCCTAGATATTGTATGTTACAGTAACATCTGTCACAGAAATAAGTGGTGTTTAACACTGTGATAGCCAATAACTGGTCAAACTCATAAAACGTTGGAATAAAAAAATTTCAAACCTCTGAATTCTTTCACCAATTTCCAAAATCAGGAGCAAACCTAATTATCTTACTTTATGAACTGGTATTTTATACAGCACGTGTTAGCAGATGTTAGTCCAAGAGTTACTCCTGGATATAAAATAATTGGAACAATCATGGGTTATTAACAGTTCACAGTGGGTAGCAGTGCATTTTTTTCTAGAGCTTTGTTGTAAAATGATATTTCTTTTTTGACAGAATCAAGAGCTGTCAAAACTAGTGAAAACAAAGTTCGCTACAGAGTTGGCAGACGTTGAAGAGAAGTACATGTGAGTAGCCAACAAACTGTCCTGAAATTTTCCAGTGTCAAACTTGTGGACAGTAGACACTAAGATTACACTTGAGTACTAATGTGTGAAATACGTTGCTGCGACTTATATGTTGATACTAAGTAAGTAGTTATTATATAAAAAATATAACCCCCCCCCCCCAAAAAAAAAAAGTTTGAGACCTCTATATTTGAATAATATTCTTGACAGGTTTTTACAGTACAAGAATTTTTACTGTCACAGGATAGTAGTCACTTAAGGCAGTGTTTCCTAAAGTGTGGGGGCATCTATCTAATGAGGGGCACAAATGATCTGTTGGGGAGGGGGCACAAGCAATTATGGAAGTCAATAGTGTAATAATGCAAAATTAAGTATTTTAATATATTTTTTATTTGTGAAAAGAATATGTAATTACTATAACATATTTTAATGTGTACCTGTTTATTACACATTATTATTACACATTTTAATGTGTACCTGTTTATTACACATTATTATTACACATAATCACTTAACTCACTCTTTTAAAAAGAGGGGGGTATGCAAGTTACCATAGTTATTAAAGGGGGCATGGATATTAAAAGTTTGGGAAATGCTGATTTAATGCCTAAAACTCCTATATAAGAATTAATATGTTAATTAATAAATCATTCAAGACCATAAAGATCCAGTACTGTAGTTAATTTATCCTTTAATATAGACACTCAAGACCATAAAGATCCAGTACTTTAGTTAATTTATCCTTTAATATAGTCACTCAAGACCATAAAGATCCAGTACTGTAGTTAATGTATCCTTTAATATAATCACTCAAGACCATAAAGATCCTGTACTGTAGTTAATGTATCCTTTAATATAGTCACTGAGACCATAATGATCCAGTACTGTAGTTAATGTATCCTTTAATATAGTCACTAAGACCATAAAGATCCAGTACTGTAGTTAATTTATCCTTTAATATAGTCACTAAGACCATAAAGATCCAGTACTGTAGTTAATGTATCCTTTAATATAGTCACTCAAGACCATAAAGATCCAGTACTGTAGTTAATGTATCCTTTAATATAGTCACTCAAGACCATAAAGATCCTGTACTGTAGTTAATGTGTCCTTTAATAAAGTCACTAAAACCATAAAGATCCAGTACTGTAGTTAATGTATCCTTTAATATAGTCACTAAGACCATAAAGATCCTACATTAACTACAGTACTATGGTCTTGAGTGACTATATTAAAGGAGGATCTTACATTAACTACAGTACTGACTATATTAAAGGACTTAGACCATAAAGATCCAGTACCATAGTTAATGTATCCTTTAATATAGTCACTGAAGACTATATAGATCCTGTACTGTAGTTAATGTATCCTTTAATATAGTCATAGAAGACCATAAAGATCCAGTACTGTAGTTAATGTATCCTATAATATAGTCACTAAGACCATAAAGATCCAGTACTGTAGTTAATGTATCCTATAATATAGTCACTAAGACCATATAGATCCAGTACCATAGTTAATGTATTCTTTAATATAGTCACTCAAGACCATAAAGATCCAGTACTGTAGTTAATGTATCCTTTAATATAGTCACTAAGACCATAAAGATCCAGTACTGTAGTTAAAGGTATCCTATAATATAGTCACTTAGACGATAAAGATCCAGTACTGTAGTTAATGTATTCTTTAATATAGTCACTCAAGACCATAAAGATCCAGTACTGTAGTTAATGTTACCTTTAATATAGTCACTAAAACCATAAAGATCCAGTACCATAGTTAATGTATCCTTTAATATAGTCACTAAGACCATAAAGATCCAGTACTGTATTTAATGTATCCTATAATATAAACACTTAGACCATAAAGATCCAGTACCATAGTTAATGTATTCTTTAATATAGTCACTAAAACCATAAAGATCCTGTACTGTAGTTAATGTATCCTTTAATATAGTCACTAAGACCATAAAGATCCAGTACTGTATTTAATGTATCCTATAA